TAAAATCTATGGATAAAATTAAAAAGAGGTTAGACAAAATGAGAAAATAATTTGACACTAAAAATTCAAGTTCATGAGGCAACTGGGCCCTATCTAAATGGAAACCATGGTTAGGAGTCCTTGCTGGACCAGTACTCACTTTGCTAGCCTTAGCTACAATAGGCCCCTGCGTTATTTATTGGATAACCAAGCTCATCACACAAAAAATAAACTCTATCCAGAACTACCAGATGTTAATCTCCACAAGATACGTAGAGTGCAGGGACATTAGTAATGTCAATGATGAAGAATAACCATGAATCAAAACAAATGGGGGAATGTTAAGAAAAGTAAAAAAAAATATAAAATAACTGCCTGCCTCATTCTGCTTCTGTAACTTGCTTCACTTGTTTGTTTTGCTTTTCAGAATAGTAATACCAGATGCTTTACCATTAACCACAAGTTTGTGGGCAGGAGATAAGAAAATGCCTGCAACAGTGCCTAACCGCAACCCCCACCCAAGTAAGGCCAGATGTCCACACCAAGATAACAGTCACCATGCCCCATGAGCAAAAGTACACATAGACCCTAAGCTTTCTGTAAACCGCATGACCAGAATTGTATATATGTAAGCCACCAATGTAACTCCGGGTTAGTCCTTGAAGACATGTTCCTGTGGGGCTGGCCTGCCAACAAATAAATTTTGTTGTTTTACCCCTGCTCCTCTGTCTCCTGTGAGTTTTTCAGTTACTCCCAGCAAAATCCACAACACTCTAAACAACAATTCCCATAGCAATAAATCCTTTACTAGCAGAAGTAGAAACCTATATCTTCCAACTGCAAAACCTCTTCCAATTTCAGGAGATCACAAATGAGGCTGTGGTTAACCTCCTCGGATGTGTGCTTTGTACTTGTCTAAGATTTGAGGCAGGGGAGAGGCTTGGGCAAAAGTCACATGCTCATCAGAGCAGAGTAGCTCTTGCACAACGTGCACATGCTCCATTTGAACTAGAACCCTGGAATTAAACTCCCCTGGCAGGACACTAGGTTTCTTACTTCACTGCTTCTGCAATAACTGATTCAGCTTTAAATGTTGCCAATGTAATAGGAGTGATCTCTTTTTACTCTTTACTTCTGCAATGCCTAAGCGTCTGTACAATGTTCTGTAGTCTGTACATATTTCTCTTCCCTAATTTCCTGTTCTAGCCTTTGTCCATTTCCTTTTGACCTTGTAGATTTTCTTGGTTTCTTGTTACAATAGATATTTATAGACATAAAGCCCTCGCCAGTTTTAGATAATTCAAACATATCCTGTTATCTATATATTTTTGTGACTTTTATTTTACATATTCTTGATTTTAATGTAAGCAAATACATCTTTTTTACATTATTATTTGTGCTTTTGAAATTTTAAAAAAGTTCTCTGCTGCCTGGCACATAAGGATAATTTCTTTCATGTATTTCTCGTATGTAGATGGCAAAAGTTTTACTTTCACTTGTAGATATTTCCACTCTCTAGAAAAGCATCGGGGGTTTTTTTGTTGTTGCTGTTTTTTGGTTTTTTGTACCAGGGATCAAACTCAGGACCTTGTGCTTCCAAAGCAGGAGGTGAAACCACTGAGCTAAATCCCCGGCCCAAAGCATCACTTTTAAACTTCCTGGCTGATGGGTTCTGCTGTGTGGTCCATGTTAAGAACACAGCAATGGAACATTCTGAGAATGCTGGTGTCTGTGTGCTCTCGGAGTCTGTCTCTGAACGTCCCTGCGGAAACGTCCGGCCAGTCACCTCGAAGACATCCTAAGCAGGTTCCTGCCCCAGCTGGAAGACCAGACTTTCCTATGGCGGTTGGCGGAAGCAGGACTCGCCCTGGCCTGTCCACTATGCCAGACACAGAACTGTCACTGGACAGGGTCCAGGGAGGTTCACAAAGCAGGGTAAGGAACCTAGACCCACACGTTTGCAGGTTTGCTGGCTCCCATCGCAGAAAAATAATGTTCAGGACTGGCAGTGTTGGGCAATCTTCACAAAATCTTTGTAAATAGGGAGCGATAAAGGGGTCGAAGGGAGGTCAGGGGAATGGGGAAAAATAAGAACCAAGAGAGATTATGTAAAGGCGCAAATTTCCAATGATGAATGTCATTATATTGTTTACCTAAAATGTACCGATAAAATTAATTTTTAAAATAGAATAAAATAAACATTCACTATAGTTTTTAAAAGTATTGGGCAGAATTTTTGAAGTACACACTCGTGTACTTCCTGGAACTGGGGACGTTTATATGTCTCTCGAGCGGTGGGAATCTATGAAAGATGCGGCCCCTTCCCAAGGTTAGTGCCCCATTTTACAAGTATGGGCCCAAGTTTTTTGTTGTTGCTGTTGCTGTTGTTATTTTAAGATGGATAATTTAAACCTTCTTTGAATTCCTTCAGCCTGTTCCTGTATCTTAGGATCAGGTTCCTGCTCTTTACTTTCTCAATTAAACCAACTTTTGGACTTGCAGTATCCTTAAGGAATTTCGGGCTTGATAGGTTGGGAAGAAAAGGAGCCTACGTTGATAATTTAACCAAGGGAGTGTGGATAAGGCTCGCCACGAGTGAGTTCGACTGGCTCCAGGGTGTTGCAGTCTTCCTAAAGGCACAAGTTTTACTTACGACTTTCCTTGTCTCCTTTCTAAAGTTCTTACGACTTTCCTCCTATCTTCACCTCTTCTGTCGGACCTCAGAACCTTGGTCCGCTCAGGATGAAGCCAGAGCCAGACACCGCAGCGACACCAGGGCCGCGGGTCCGTGGCTCTGCACGGCGGGGCGGCCCTGGACGCGGACCCCGTCCGGAGCATCCCGAGGGCGGGCCGGGCTCCCTTCTCTGCTGGAGGCCTCCGAAAGCTGTCCCGACTCTGCGGTCTTTCGCCCCGGGAACGGGAACGCAGCCTACTCCCCCGCCCCCGCTTCGGGGCGTCCCCTGCAGGCCGCGGGCTCCCGTCCGGCGCTGTATTCTGGGGCTCTTGGGCTCCCAGCTGCGCCCCCCAGTCGCCCCCCCCCCCCAGCGTCGCCTCCCCGAGCGCCCTGCGGTGGCTCCCGCCGCGCTTCGCTCCAACCGTGCTCGGCGAGATGAAGAGCCTCGTGACCCACTTTGGATCTCGTTCGTGAGGATCCCTGCGGCCCGGGCTCCGGGCTCCGGGCTCCGCGCGTGCGAGGCCTGAGGCGGGGGTGCGAGCGGGTCCTGTGGAGGGCGCTGGGCTGAGCAAAAGCGTCTGCAACTGAAGTCACGGTCGCCACTTGGAGCTGCGGTGTCCCCAGGGACCCCGAACTTCTCCGGGACGCGCTCGTCTGGTCCAGGGTCCCCGCGTCCCGACTTCGGGGCGCAGTGGCGGGTGCGGACCTTGAGGAGCCGGGAGCGCGGGACGCGGACGCGGACGCGGAAGGGCACGGGAACGGGGACTGAAGAGAAAAACAGCGCTTTCTCCAGAACACAAGGCAGCGAGGAGGCCCGGAAAACGCTCTCAGAAAGCGGTAGTTTCTCTGTCCGCCTCCGCCTCCTCCTGCTCCTCGTCTCGTAACGCAATTCCGTGGAAGGGGAGATTCGCGCTTCCCCGCGCTCAGCACAAAATGGAGATGATTGCGCAAGAACCTCGGGTACCGGGATGGCCGAGTGGTTAAGGCGTTGGACTTAAGATCCAATGGGCTAGTGCCCGCGTGGGTTCGAACCCCACTCTCGGTACACTTGCTTTTCTCTCTGCGCTCGGCCCCAACACGCTACCAACCTTGAAAGCCACGTGATTGATTACGTTCCTGTTTGCCCATCGTTTTGCGTAAACATTTTATTGGGGGGGGTACCGGAGATCGAACTCGGGTCCTTCCGCTTGCAAGGCAGGCGCAGAAACCATGCGTAAACACTTTAAATCTGAACAAGCTACTTCTGCGAGTCATTTCCTAGCTCAGTCCTCGCAGATGGCCAGTGTGCGGCAAACCACCCTCGTGGCCCAAGGAGTTGTTCGCCCGCCAGGCGTCTCAATTCCAAGAGCGCCGCACCTCCGAGGACCCCCTCGTCGCTTCCGGAGGCTCGAACTCATAAAAGCCTGGCTCCACCGGGGACACCAGCGCGGGGAGGACGGCCCAGCCCTCCTCAGCAGAGTTTCTGGCTGTGTCTGAAACGGGAGCAGGCCCCTGGGGGAGGGTTTGTTTGCACGGCCTTGGTTGTGTTGTGCAGCGTCTGTGACAATCCGAGCCTCTTCGAGAGTTGAGGCTGGGATGCGGCTCAGGGGTCAAGCTCTTACCGAGCATGTACAGGCCCTGGTTTGATCCTCCATATTAAAAAAAAGATTGCAATTAGCCATCTATTATCTTTTAGTAGGAATGTTCAAGAAATAACATTAAGTTATAAATGAGGGCACAGCAATGTTTGTGTGGAATGTTAGCTCCTTTTTGAAATGTACACACAGCACAAGTGTACATGCAGCAAGATGAGGTTGATAGTGTCCACCTCGGGGAAGTGGGGGAAATACACACACGCGCAGTTACTTAGCCATATTTTGCAAACTTTTGATGATAGTCCTCTATAATACAATACCTGTACAGAAAAAAAGGGGAGAAGCTAAATTCAGAAATAGTAAAAGAAAAAATGAACAATCTTTTGGATCTTATGTCAAAAGACATATCCAGCACAATTGGGAAAGTAAAATGAACTAAAGTGTGAAATCCTTCCCAATAGTTTTTGTTTGGGGTTTGGTTTTGTTTGGGGTGCTGAGGATGGAAGCCCAGGCCTCATGTGTGCTAGGTAAGTATTCTGCCTTTGAATTATACCCCTCCCTCTTTCTATTTTTTAAAAAATATTTCCACGCTGTCTTATTTTATTTATTATTTTAGTACCGGGGATCAAACTCGGGACTTTGTGCTTACAAGGCAGGCGCTGGAACCACTGAACTAAATCCCCAGCCCCTTTATTTTATATTTTTGAGACAGTCTCCCTATGTACTCCGGGCTAGCCTTGAACTCACAGTGATCCGCATGCCTCAGCCTCCTGAGTGCTGAGATCACAGGTGTGCGCAACCACGTCTGGCCCGTGTCTTCTTCTAAGCATACTGTATTGATATTTTAATCCTTGTTTCCTTTGTTCTTCCGTTCGAAGGCAGTCCCTCCCCACCACGCACACATCCTTGCCCCTTCATTCTCTGTGATCCTGTCTGTGAGGCTTAGTCCTGGTCTCCGCCCAGCCTGCCCAGCAAATACGCACGGATCTGCCCCCGACTGCCGCCCTTGCCTCAGAGATCGAGGAGTCCTCAGGTTCATGGACTCGCGTTCTTAGGCGCAGCCAGGAAGCACGCAGGGCGCTCAGGAGAGAACCCTCCAAGGGTCTGCCTCTGAGCCTCCCGAGAACCGCGTTGAGGGCCTGGAGCGGGAGCGGATGCAGTAGGAAAACCTCGTTATAAACGCACGCGCTCAGACGCGTGCCCCGAGCCCAAGGTCTAGCGCGCGTCACTGCGAGCCAAGCTAACGGAAGGTGGAAAACACCGGTCTACATTTTGGCCCATAAAGAGGTTGCAAGAAAGCGTGGAAGACACGATTACAGAGTGAGACCCTGGAAACCATCCCAAAAACCGCGACCCGAGCGGCGGGCAGAGCGAGGCCCAGGCCAGGAGTCTTCAAGGCGACGAGCGCTCTGGACACCGTAAGTGACAGCAGGAACCGGGAGAGAACGCTTCAGGGTTAGGGAGGAGGAAGGGGCAGTCCGGAGCCCCCGGCCCACAGAGCGGTGTGGACGGCCCCGCCCCAGCCGGCAGCCGGGAGGAGGAGGAGGAGGGCAGGGAGGCCGAGGCGGGCGGAGACGCGGATTTCCGGAGCCGAACTGGGGTCAGAGTTCATCCTGCGTCCGCGGGGACCCGCGTGACACCCACGCGCCGGCCGTGTCACTTCTCAGCTTTCTTTGGCACCCGACACAAGGGCAGCTGTTGTGGCTTTTCTTACTGCTCCAGAAGCAAGGAGAAACTGTGTCCAGAACAAAGTCGAGTGACTAAAATCATGTCAGCTCCTTGTGCCTGGCCAGCAGTTGGCCCTGGGTTCCAGCCCCAGCAGCGCCACAGCAAACGGCCAAATGGAACCCAAGTTCCTTAAGCGCAAAACAGAAAGTAACTAGGGCCCTTCTGCGTGAGAAAGAAAAAAAGTAAGAGTCAAGATGAATACGTACATGTGTCTGCGAAAGCCAAGCAGGTGCATAGGCAGAGAATTTAAGGATTCAGATAATTTAAGAAGACCTTAGAAATACATATTTTAAACTATGTAGCTTTCGTGCAGGAATAAATGTTGCGTGCATCCAAGCAAGATCTGTGTCATTCTTAAACTTTTCTTTCTTCTTTTTAAATATTACTGTCTTTAACTAGAAGCATCTCTCGGTGGAATGAAATAATCAAAGAACTCGGTATTTCACTCCAAGAAACCTCCCTCAGAGACAGGAACTGCGCAGCCTGGTCGGTGGGGACAGACAGGGTGGCCCGAGGGGTCCCCCTACAGTAACCAGGAAGAACAAAATGACATATAGAGCTAGTCCGTACGGGGATCGAACCCTCAATCTTGGCGTTATTAGTACCACGCTCTAACCCACTGAACTAACCGGCCACCTTAACGAGTCTTTCTACCCTTCAGACCCTGTTGGTTTCCCGTCTCTCGAGCGAGAGAACGCTGCTTCCTCTGCGGATCTAAGATCCAGGCCCGGCCCCTCCTCTGCTACGGTGCTGCTCCTCGAGGCCTGGAACGGTTTGCCCGGTTCCTGGTTGGGAACTCTCGGCAACGACTGACAGGCGGCGCTGGTCTCCACGCTAGACTCGGGCACGCGTGGGCAGAGCGCTCGAAGGTGGTGGCCACTCATTCCCCGCGGATCCGATTCCCTAGAGCATGGTCTACACTCATCCCTAAAATGGAAAGCTCTCCGCGTTCTATGGAGGTAGCTGAGCTTTTTGTTTTCAAGTCAGGTGATACTAATTTCCAGAATTGTTGCTTTGTAGAGTGCAAAATCATGTTCAAAGAGCCCACAACGATTTGCTGTCTCAGGGCTGGCTCCGTGGCTTAGCTGGTTAAAGCGCCTGTCTAGTAAACAGGAGATCCTGGGTTCAAATCCCAGCGGGGCCTGTAGGGTGGTAGTCTGGTGTCCCTTTTGAAATTCTGTCTGGTGCAACGTGTCAGCCCTGATGAAATCTGTCTTGCTGTTTGAGAACAAGGAATGGAAAAAGAACAGCTTTAGAAATAGACCCTTTCAGGTGTTTCACTATTGAAAAGAAATCATTTCTGCTACCTCACCAGCTGCAACGCATTTGGAATAAAGTTGGCACTTAATGTTTTTATCATGGACCAGCAAATGGATAACTGGTGGTTTCTAATTTTCATTGCCTTGTACACGTATACTTCTATCAATAGCTTTGAGGAACGATGCACAGTGCCTAGAAAAAGTTAAAAAGAAAGGACTAGGATTGGGAAGTTTGAAGTCAGAAATGATGTTTTGTACTTTGCTGTTAGCACATGTTTTATCTTCTGTTTCTTTGGACATTCTAAGGTATATCTTCAAATTATGTGTCAGACACACAACACTCACTGTACCGTCACAATGATGCGTACAAAATTTTTCAAGCAATGGATTGCATCTCAAACAGCTTCTTGCTCCTTACCATAATCGCTCAACAGATTGCTCAGTCTCTGTTGAGCATGTGGGAGGTCGGGGCGCTGGATATAATGTAACATAATGTAATGTAATAGAATATAATGTAGTAACATCACTCAGCCCCGAACTACTAGGTGATGAAGGTGCTTTCCTTTATCAAACAATTTTCAAACAAAGCCTAGACTTCTACCGTTGTGTCTTTGGTTAAAGGACTTCTCCATAATCAAATACTATTTCTTTCCCGACTTACATATTGTTTATTCAAACAGAGCCTGGTTTCTCAGGGACCACATGCCATTTGGGCTGTGGTCCCCAGGCAGTGAGGTGCTTTTTGTGATTTAAAGTGGGCCTAGAGTCACCTGAGGCTAGTTATGTGGTTCTTTCTCCTTCAGGCCCAAGTATTAATTCCAAATATTGGCACTGGATAAACTTGGGTGAGATGATTTTGATGTCCCTAAAAAAGTGAACAGTAAGGCACAGCTATGAGGGAAAATGTTGAGGAGAGAGAAATGGTGGTAATACTTGGAGGTATTTTCACCTGTGTTCAGGCAAGGAGCCTTAGGTGAGTGAGGTGAACTTGGCAACAAAGCTACAGAAAGCTGCAAACGCTCCCACTCGGCAGGCTGTGGAGGTCTCCCGGCACCTCTGTCCCCGCTCCCTGCCCTGCTTCCTCCTTGGCTCTGAGACTGCGGCCAAAGCTGTCACCCCATTTGCACACGGGCATCGCTCAAAGCTGGGCATCCCCCATTGCACAGACAGCTCAGTCCACAGTGAACCGTGACCACATGAGGAAGATGCCAGTCCCAGGACTGGTAAGGAAGGAGTTGATCCTTCCAGCACCTCTCAGAATTTCTTCATCCAGCGTATGGCCCTTGGCAGCCTGTCTGGAGCTGACACCCTCCCAACCGTGTCTACATGAAGTCTCTGCCAAGCCTCAAACTCATATTTCTGTTTCTGCCAGCGACCCCTGTAGTCAGGTTCCAGTCCCCACCTGCCCAACGTGTGATGCAGGCCTGAGAAAAAGAATACACTGAGAGACAGAACTAGGAGAGAGAAAGCGGGCGCCAGGACGACCGGTGCCGGTGCGACCGACAAAGGCCCTGGCCAGTCCCAGGCACTGACTTTCATTGGCAATCAATTGGGGTAAAGGTGAGCTACGTGCAGTTTCTGTGGAAATTAATGTAAACAAGGCTCCTAAAGGACAAGACAAAGCATCCTCAAATTAGCAACCGAATAGACAAAATGTATGGCTGTAATTAGAACACTGTCCTCCTAGTCTGAAGGTTTTAGTTGTGGGAACAGAATTTGGGTTCGAGTTACTCTGCCCTCGGCAGGACCTTGCAAGGCAGGCATGGTACCAGGGTCACTTCTACAAACACGTGAATTGTGAGGCTAGGTCTTCACAGCCTGCCTGGGGCATGGCCAGTGTTAGGGTCCTCTGCACGCTTGCGCTTGGGTTTCCTGCAGGCATCCCTACCAAGGCCCACCGCAGACTGAACTCCAACATTCCGGTCAGAAACTGGGTTGCACTGGTCTCCTCCATGTCTGCCCCTGGGATCCTGCAGTCTGCTGGTCTCCCTGCAGCCTGTGTGTGGGCCTCTCCCCATCCTTCTCTTCTCCCTATTTGGGCCATCAGCATTCATCACGGCAACCTCACAACAACCTGCTGCTGTTCCTGCCGCCTGCAAGAGTGGGAGTCTCCATCCACCTCAGATCCACGGAGGCTGACTTCACCTACAGAACATCATTTGTGTGCATTCCCATCGCACTTTTACTTCACTTGGGGTTTATTTAGAAATGTAGTGTTTATCCTTCCAAAACCTGAGAATGTTTTACCTGTCTTTGTGTTATTGACTTCCACTTTGTGTTGTCAGAAATCATATTTTGTAATGATTTTAATCCTTTAAAATTTATCGAGACTTGTGTTATAGCCCTATTTTGGTGAATTCTCCACACACATTTGAAAATAATGTGTATTCTGCAGCATTTGGATGTGAATATAAATGCCACCTAGGTCAGATTGGTGGTTAATAGCCATGCTTCGAGTTTACTATATTCCTAGTTGTTTCCTCTTTCGGCTGCTCATCAGCTAGTCAGAGGTGTCTAAAATCGCCAACCATGATGCTGGTGATTCTTATTCTTGGTTTTAATTTTCTTCATATAAGAATGAATGTCTTCCTGTGGAATTGGTCATTTCATCATTATGTAATGCTCCTCCTCGTCTGGGGTCTTGCGTTTTGCCTGGACTTCTACTCGGATATATCAATGTATCTCTGCCAGCTTTCTCACCAGGGTGTGCTCTTGGCATGTCCTTGTCCATCTCTGCTATTTTTAGTGTGCCTCTGGAAGAAAAACAGTGGCCCTGTTTCTTTTTATTTCACTTACTGTCTAGCCTGACAATCTCTGCCTTTTAATGGCTTAACACATTTACGTTGGACACACTTATTTATGATTGGATTTAAGCCCAGCGGTGTATCTGTTCTTCCTTGCTTTGTTTGTCCCTGAAGGAACTTACCTGTTTCTTTTGTTCCTTCACCCCTCCTTTGAATTAATATTTATTAGTCAATTTTAATTTTTCACTACCTAAAATGTAATATCTTTCCTCGGCAGTTGCTTTTAAAATGTTTTTCTTTATCTTCGGCTTCAACCATACCGATGTAGTTTCGAGTAGTTGTAATTTTCTTTGTGTTTCTCTTAGCTGGTGTTTGCTGAGGGAGTTGATTCTTCCTTCCCCATGGGTCCGCACGTGTCAGGTTGTGTATCTTAATGCAGGTCAATCACTGCTGACTGAAGGCTAATGCCCAACCTCTCCAGTTTCTGCCCAGCCCTGGAGCTCGCATTTACCGCCCTGACCTCAGGTCTCTGGATCCTCCACTCCCTTGTTTCCGCTCCAACCCCTCTCCGACCTTCCTCCTTGCATCCATCCAGGCTCGGCGCAGTCTCTTTCCTCCCGGAAGGCTTCCTCCTCGGGGACCGGGAGTCTCCAAAGGCGCTCTGCACCCTGGACAACAGCACCACAGGCATATTTTTCTGAAGGAAAAAGTAAATTAGTTTCTCCGCCATTGACGTCAAAGAAAATTTATTTCTATCATGAGAGGGAAGCAGACCTGCTAGGTGGTTTCCGTGGTGTAGTGGTTATCACGTTCGCCTAACACGCGAAAGGTCCCCGGTTCGAAACCGGGCGGAAACACTCTGCCGGAGGTTTTTGCTCCATCTGAGACTCTCGTGGCGATGTCCGCGTCCTGTAACCGGACTTGCCTGCGCCTTTTAGGAGTTTGAAGCGGGGACTGTCCCGGCGTCGCGGCACGGAGATCTGTGTGATGTCCCCAGACCCGTCCTCGTGGTCCGCACCCCGGGACCTGCTCCTGAATTACACAAGAGGCCAGCTGGGGTCTGGAAGGGTCCGCCGGCTGACGGGCTGTCTGGCCGAGGGATGGCTCAGCGCCGGCGGTCGCAGCGGCCCTGAAGTGAGCCGCGGGACGGGCTCGGACCCCACGCCGCGAGTCCAGCCGCGCTCGGGTCGGAGGCCCTGTCACCTCCTCACCCCACTCGGGGACGTGGTCTTTCTCCAGAGCCAGCACCAAGCGATCGCAGGGTGACAGCCTGGGCCTCAGGATGGGACCCAAAATGCAGACGTGCCCAAGGTCAGCTTCACCACTAGCGGCTAAAAACTCACGACCCTCGGAGAGAGAGCGAACCCTCCAGAACCGATTCAAGGAAGCCGGATGACGTCCGCAGGGGTGAAGTCGCACTGACCTCAGAGTCGGGGTGTCGGAGCAGGACTGGGGGCAGAAGAGCACGTCTGCACCTCACGCTCCGCAGGATTTACATGCCGCAACGCCCATCACACACAACCGCCTGAAGCGTGCAGGGCGTGAGCTCCCAGCTCCCAGCCTCGGTCTCTGCCGCCTGTGCCCCAGGATGGAGCTCGGGTCTGGGGTCTGCACCGTCCCCCTCTCCCCAAGAGGCTTTGCAAATAAGGTCCCTCCTGGCTGGGAAGCCTGGTGCTTCCTTCTTCTGGTTGTCTCTTCTCTCGATTCTTCTCAGCCAAACTACTCTTTCTTCAGGAAAGGCCTCCTGGCTCCCTACGCGGACCCCTTTGTTCCTTCCCTTGGGACACCGGGTGGGGACTGGATGAAGTCTGTCCGAAGGTGCCCGGGCTGGCACTGTCTGTGCTCGGTCACCAGCGCACACACTGCACCTTGCACAACACCTCACATGCAACAGGCCCCCGTGGATCCTGGTAAACGCAGGTCTAAGCCCTGAGCTGAAGCTCCTCACCGGGTGAGCAGCAGGAAGTGCCCGAGGTCCAGACGGAAGTACTCCTGGCTGTTGTTCTTTAGTACCCTACTGGACTGATGCTGTTGAATTCTCAAATTCCCAAACGTCTTACCTTTGCAATTCCCATTTCATGCATTTTAAATTAATAATGGGAAATAAATCACTAGAACAACAGTAACAGCTGCCATTTGCTTCTAGCTTGATTAAATCAAGTGTTTAGCAATTTTTCAAACATAAGCTAACAAAGCAAGCCAGGAGTCAGTGCTGTTGTTGTTCAGTCATTTATCTACTGTACCGACTCAGAGGCTGAGCAGTGGAGGCCTCATGACCTGAACGAGCTGAGAGCTCTCAAGCTATAGGATTTGCAGCAAGTACTTGTACTCCCATGTGTCAGAGCTGAAGGGTCTGCTAGTGCAGTTTTCTGGGACAGAAGGGACAGACACAGGGGTGTGAAGGTGACTTCACAGTGGAGGGAGAGGCAGAGGAAGTCCATTTCTAGAGATGAATAGGACACGGAGTAGCAGGAGAAAACCCTGTGCGGCTGTTGGTTCTGCCCCCCCACCCCGAAGGAAAAGGGGGAACCACAATTCAGGGGAAAAGAAGGGCTGGGAATTTCACCTCCCAGAATGAGTACCAGCAATGTTGCCCACTGGGGCCACATCCTGAGCTTGTTGCCCAGGAGCATCAGAAAAGGGCATGAGAAAAGCCCTGGTGAGGTGCAGGTCCTCTGGGTGGAGGGTGCCCGGTTTAGCAAACAGAACCACTCTTCCCTGCCACTGTCACTACAGCCCAATCCCACCTCCACCCTGGCCTCCCTCCACCTGCTTCCTGGCCCTGAGGCACCTCGGGGAGCCCAGATAGGTCCTAACACAGGTGTCCACTTCCACTTTCTGTTGTGATCTGGGGAGCTCAGTGGGCTCCCTGGATCTTATCTCCTCATGTAAGGTGACATAAGGGAGTGCGTTTTGTGTATTTCCAACACATACTTGCGGCATCTCATCCACCTGCTAGACCCTCTTGTGGGTTCTAGGAATCTAGCAGTAAGCAAGGTCCCTGCGCTCATGAAGTCCTGCCTTTTCACGTGGAGCCAGACAATGCTCCAGTGTTATTTGCTATGTTTAAAAATGGTTAGGGCCAGGGATTTAGCTCAGTGCTTCTGGCGCCTGCTGCACAAGTGCAAGGTCCTGAGTTCGACCCCCAGTACCAAAAAAAAAAAAATGATTATAAGTGATATGGTGGAAAACCAAAAAATGGGAGGAAAGGTGCTAGAATGAGGGAAATTAATTTTAGATATAATTGTGTTTCACTGATCAGGTGATACTTGATAAAATATTGGGTAAGGGACTGAACCATACATATATTAAAGCAAGGGTTTTCCAAGCAGAGGGAGCGTTCGTGCAAAGGCCCTGAGGCAACAACACACTTAGTGTCTACAAGGATGTCCAAATAAGAACTAGAAGCCCGTGATACCAGCTGTGGTTGGAAACCCAAGTCAAGAACCCCAGCATCGACTCAGATGAAAGGAGATGCTGATTGTTGACCAAAGCCATACCACAAGTCTGTTAAGTCCAAGGGTTACACTGGTGAGAAGTTTGTCACATCTGGGTATATTCTGAAGGCAGAACAAAGAGAATTCCCTCATGCTTGCAGAATGGGGGAAATCTAAAGTCACAGGTGTTGCCTCACTGTGATTGTCTTGTCTTGGCTGTGTCTCTATGTCCCCCAAACCCTGTTGTGGTCATAGGTGGGGCTTTTCAGAGGTGGCTGAGTCTAGGTCATGTGACGCTGGGATTAGGAGTGCGTGATTACTGAATTAGTCCGCTGATTGGAATTGCCATAGTGCTGGGTGGCACCACCCGAAAGGCAGGTGGCCTCGTGGGATGAACAGGAAGGGCAGGCTGTTTCCTGCCTTCCGCCTGCCACACCGTGGACCGTCTCTGCCACGGCCTCTGCTGCGTCTCCCTGCCTTGGGGCTTCGTGGAGGATGCTCCGTGTTGGTCTCAACCCATCAAGGACACTACTGCTCAGCAGGGCTGTGATGGCCGAGTGGTTAAGGCGTTGGACTCGAAATCCAATGGGGACTCCCCGCGCAGGTTCAAATCCTGCTCACAGCGGTTGCGTTTTATATCTGGATCCCAAAGTTTACTGTTGCGACTTAATTTCACCCGCGCGCAAAACCCGCTAGGCTCATTTCCTACATTCCACCTGACCGCTTCAGGGGGCGCCAGCGAGCCTGTCCTGTCGCTCGGATGGGTACCGGGAACCTAGGGCCCTGGTCCGATCCCATCCAGCCCGATTTCTCCTTCCACAGAAGCCCAGATAATGGATGTGCTGAGATGAAGTGGCTAAGTCCAGGGTCTGACCTCGGCCAAAGAGAAACAAGAACTTCCTTTGGGATTCCTCCAAGCAGGGTCAGAGGGCGACTTTCAGTGCTTGGATCTCAGGTGCTGTGAAACCCAAATAGGAAGGATTTTCTTTTATTATTATTTTTTTTTGGTACCGGGGTTCGAACTTGGGTTCTTGCGCTTGCAGGGAAGGCGGCGGAACCACTGAGCTAAATCCCTGGCCCGGAAGGATTTTCTTCTAAAGCAAGAGATTTATTGGTACATTTTAGATACACATAATGATAACATTCATCATAGGGAATTTGTAGCTGCACATGATATATTTTGCTTCTTTTTTTCCCATTCTCCCCCCTCCCTTCAACCCCCTTCTGCAAATAGGAGGGATTTAGCGACACCCTGGGTCCCAGGCGTTCTTGAGAGCACGGGAGGCGATCGAGGCACAGGGTGGATCCACGCGGCTTCCGGCCGACCTGGCAAACCCACAGGAAGCCTGGTCTCAGGCGGGGACGAAGCTCCTTCCAGCACCTGTGCATTTCCACTGTTTTGCCTGATTGAATAGCTGAGAAAAAAGCCAATGAAATTCAGGTGCGGGCAGATGATTGATCTGGAAAATGAACAAAGAGCTCAAAACGCGGAGTAAAAAGAGCAGGCAGAAATCCTACTTGGAAGGGATGAATATTCACCTATCACACAAATGATGTCTCAGAGACAAAATCGGTCTTTGTTTTCTTTTTCATTTGTTTTGGGTTGTTTTTCTTTTTTAGACTGGGTCTCTCTATGCAATTCAGGCTGGCCTTGAACTCTCAGTGATCCTCCTGCCTCAGCCTCCCGAATGCTGGGATTTCAGGAGTGCGCCACCGCGCCCAGCCTGGTCATGGTTTCTAGAGCAGGTTTTGATTGTCCCTGCCCAAGTTACACCTTCTTCCCGTCCGCCACAGTACGAACACGAATCAGCGCTGAAACAGCGGCACTCGCACGCTCCTTTCCGGGCGTGGGCCGGTGGCGCAATGGATAACGCACCTGAGTCGGATCAGAAGGGCCCAGGCTCGACTTCCGGCTGGCTCGCAAAGCCCACGTTTAGCTTCCTCAGTCTGTGGAACCGATCTCCGCAGAGCTCACTGACCTCGTGGTGGTGCTGCCTTCGGAGTCGAGTTGCTCCCCAAGCACCGAGAACCGTCAGGCGACCGCTCTTTCCACCGCCCGCTCTCCTGGGCTCGAGAAGGGAGCTGGGTGGGAGACGAGATGGAGAAGCCCCGACGCCGAAGGAGCTCGAGGCCGCGGCTCTCCCACCGTCTGTTCCCCGAGGAGTCCTTCCCGCCGGAGCCCTGCCTCTGGGGGTCTGCGGGCTCCGGGTGGAGGCAGCACCGGCCCGGAGGGTGCGGGTAGAGAGGGCGCGGGCCCTGTACACCGCGGCGTCCACTCCGCGCGCTAAATAATACAGGCAGGCGGTGCCACCAAAAAGCATGCGGCGGATTCCCGCCTTCTCTCATTCGCCCTGCCGAGCACGCGCCCGCGGGCCCCTATGCCGCTTGTTTTTGTTTGGTTTTCTTTAAACGAAAGTA